AGGCCCAGATTCACCCACACACCGATCCTCCGCTCGGCACAATGATCATTAGTGGCGGTGCACTGTAGTCGAACATGGTACACCCACGCACCGGATCCATGTGGGTTTTTCGATTGTAATGTGCATACAGTCCGACTTGGAGTTCCGGGTGTCTCTTGTCTGTGTTACGCGTAAAGTAATCAGGTAATCAGACTTTACCTAGTCGGATATAATTTTTCAGAACCCATGGGGTTCGTTCCACATGGGCACAGAACAGTCGGTCAGATCGCACAAACATGCGTTCAAGGAGCTAACCGTGAACCGTTCAACACAGGGCTAACGGTTTCCTGTCCCAATCGGAAGTTTCGAGACCCGGATCGAACACATGCGGTATACGGGTTGGAACGAGGATAAAAACATAATTTCGACGGTATTTTTCCACTATGAAAACAGCAGTGTAGAACAAAATATCAATCAGAATGATTGGTTTTGTTAAACTTTCTTAAACAATATTCAGTTTGTTTCTAGGGCATTGATGAAATCTATTTTACTGTTTTTATTCCAACTTAGGATACGAGACCTGAATCAGCGAACCACACATAGGTGTGACTGAATCACACGGTAGCGAAGATGGCTGCTCACATCGAAAATGGTTTACTATGAAGACTATTGTTGTCCTATAAATTGTACATTTTGGAAAATCAATCTCTTCCATTTCTTATGACCGACTGTACCAAGAAAAATATGGACTCATTGTCTACTGAATATCAGGAGACCAACTGCGCCTCCTGTAATTCCCCTCCGCTTAGCCGCGCATGTTCGTTGTCACCCGGATTTTGTCGCCGATTACTTCTCCAGACCTCAAACAATTAGCCCTGCGACAAAGTTTGACATTTTGTATGGTCAACTTTTGTTTCTCATAGAGGATGAGGTGGAAATGGGTGGGTGAATGTGCTGTCCGGTGAAGGTCATCCGCGTCGCATTTATCTGCATTGGTTGTAAATAACATCAGGAGAAACAATGTTCAAATATTGACTGATTGCGGTGAGGTGAGATTCGAGACCAGTGTTTAACCGGAACACGCGCGTACCATTGTGTGATCATGTGCCATTTTTTGTCCCGAGTAAACTCTCACAGTATGTTTCCAGGACCAAGACGTTTCGGTCGTATTTTCTGTTTGGTGTTTAAGGTTATTTAAAGCTGGTACAGTCGAACGATTAAAGTTGCTTTTTGTAGTGTTACCGATGTTTTGGATATGAGAGTTTATCGAAAGGAGAGATGAGTTAAAAAGCCTTTTGGCGACTTTGGTGAGTCTGTTTTAGGATATTGCGAATCACGCCATTTTGAACATCGAGTCCAATGACGGAAAAATACTCATCGTATGGCGCAATTGATCGATATTTATTCAGAAAATCTGAATAAACATTTTCTTCAGAAGAGGTAACCACACCGGCTGCCCGATCAACTCCTAACATGGAACTAGACTTCAGAGATATGCATGTTAGGGACGGTAAAATTCTCATGGCTTTTTATGGTCTTTTGCACCCCGAAAATGAGGTCTAGGAAGACGCATTNCGAAATCTGATGAGGGTGCGGGTTTTATTACACTGGATAATGCGAGCTTTTCAATTAATGAATCGTCTTTATCCCGCGGAGACGTGTGCAGAGAAAGAGGTCAATCACTGGTTTGATGAATGCTAACAGTTGGGCGGTGTCAAAAGTAAGATTTGAGCAGCGGATTCTGTCATATTTTAAAGGCAGTGGCTACTCTTTGAGTGATTTAGTCATGTTTTGGTGTTTCAGACTGAATGAACGAGAGGTTTTTATGCTTGATCTAAGTTCCATTTGATACANTAGATTAGACTTTAATAAGTTTCTGGATCCTAGAGAAAGTTATTTTTAAAGCCAATGATTCTTCCTAGATCTTGACAGTGAGCGACTGAAGTTACTTAACGTTTTAAGGCTATATTGGGGTTCCAGCAGTTGTTTGAGGACAATGGAGGATTTGAAACTAGTATGGAGAAACATGAATTAAGAGTATCTCGTTTAGGTATATTCTGGCAAATTTGTCAAAGCTAATCGGACATGTATACCCGGTTCACCACAAACAAGTCCAATATGAATTCGAAAATTGAGATAATTTTGAAGAAAACTTTGCTATTTGACGCCATACTCTTAACTTTCCAAACGGGTTCAAGTCAAATGAACTATTTTGTCTATCTAACCTGATAAAACCGAGTCTTCGAATTGACGATCCGGATACTGTGGACCAATGATTTGACTAAAATAGGCTAACAGATAGAAGAATGCATCGGAAAATTCTGAGGAGATGAGGGAGGTGTTAAGGAGAAAGGAATTTTCCCGTATTTCTTATAAATTTTACTCTTGGTTTGGCATAGTTTACTGTGCCGCCTTTTTCTGTTAATAGGATAGTGTTTTTTTCAGAACAACAACAACAACAACGACCATGTGCGCCTGAATATCATTTGGTTGCTCAAAATGTCCTGGTATCAAATTAATCTCCTCTATTGCTGTGTGGATGCGATCTTTCTGATTGGAACAACGCACGGGTGAAGCAAGAGGCTTGAATGAATGGAGAAATCCCATAGAGGCGGTAGCTCAGCTGTCCTC